GAGCGGGAGGCTGAGGGTGAGCCGAGGGAGAGGAGAGAGAGGGAGAGAGTGAGAGCACACACACACACTCACTCACTCGACACGACGGACTCGGACTGGGGATCGGACGCAGACACAGTGGCAAGGCACAAAGTCGAAGTCTTGGATTCCACAGGTTCTTGCAGTGCCTGCAGCCTGCAGATGGCCTGAATGTCCAGTAGGGACCCAGACAGTCCGTTTTGTTGGCCTGTTCTCAGGACCAGGACTTGGGCCTGCGATTAGGACAATCGATTGGATGATAGATCGGACGGCCCTGATAGCAGACTGTGTGCCTCTCAGCCAGGCCCAGCGGTAAATAGCTGGGACAGGCCTGCAGTTCAGGACATTCGGCTGGACCTCAGTTTAAGCGTTATGCTGCTGGAGAAGCGCCAGAAAGAAGGAACTGCGCTAAAGTAGAGGTAGCGGAGTAGAAGGAGATAGCTGGAATGTGGAGGCTGGTAAGCCATAGCCGCGAGATGATGTGCGACTTACCTGGGAGCTTGCTCCAACGACCTGCATCAGACAGGCAGAGGAGAGCTCTTCTTCTTCTTCTTCTTCTTCTTCTTCTTCTTTTTCTCTCTGATTCTACTCTGACCTCCATAGTCACAGCCCTTTTTCTTCTTCTTCTTCTTCTTCTTCTTCTTCTTCTTCTTCTTCTTTTCTCTGACTATACTCTGACCTCCATAGTCACTGCCCTTTTTCTTCTTCTTCTTCTTCTTCTTCTTCTTCTTCTTCTTCTTCTTCTTCTGAGAGAGAGTGAGAGGTTGCAGGCAGGGACTATTGTCAGGCATTGAGCGCTCAGGATCTGATTCGACATTTTGGGGACAGACATTGGATGGACATTTGACGGGACGCTATTTTTGGACGACTACGAGATCTGATATTGTCGTCTCTCCCTGCTCCATCTCCGTCTCTCCTCCCCCTTCATCATCCGTGGTTTCTCGCCCATGTGTGTGCGCAAGGAGGGACCTTTCTTCCATGTATGTTCCCCTCCTTGCTGTGTGACATGTGTGCTGATGAGTGTGTGAGTCAAGTCTGAGTCCGATGTGTCAGGTCATATCTTTGAGTCTTCCGCTGTGCTACATTGCATTATTCTGTGTTTTGTATGGAGACACATTGCTTTCTTGATGTTGTGTTCTATGTCTGAGTCCTTATCATCACCTCGCTGTTCCTTTGGTTCTTCTGCATCACTCACCTTCAAGTGAGCATCCATCACAACAGCAGACATCTCAGACTCATTCTGTGCGAATCATTGCACCTGACTGTGTAACCGTGTGAACGCATCAAACGCGCGCGTTCAAACGCGCCGGGGGGCGCGTTCAATCACGTTCAAACGCGCTACGCGTCACGTGGCGCGAATTTTTTGAATGTTGCCCGCCCATCCTTGTGCGCGCATGGGGGACTACGGGTGGGGCACTTGTTTCTTCAAAATATACTTTTTGTATATTTTCATGTTCTAGCAGTAGATTCATTCGATTTTGCTCATCCTATCAATGGAGCATGCCGCCAGCCCCCCGGGGTTGGAGACTTACCTGTTCTCTTCTCTCTCTCTCTCTCTCTCTCTCTCACACACACAAAAAAAAAAAAAAAAAAAAAAAAAAATAATAATAATAATAATAATAATAATAATAACAATAATAATAAATATATATATGTATACTTGCAGTGTATATTTCCACGTTCTAGTGGTAGATTCATTCGATTCTGCTCATCACATCGATGGTAGTACCATGAGGTGAGCCTCGCGGTTGGATACTTAGCTGTTCTCCTCTCTCTCTCTCTCTCTCTCTCTCTCTCTCTCTCTCTCTCTC